TCATGGTTATGTGACAATATATATGGGTGTGAGAGGCACGGTGAGTCAAAAGCAGAATGAGTAAAATGAATGGTTTCACTGTGCCCTTCATGTTTTTTCTTTTTCTTTTTCTGCCGTTTGTTTCACAAATTGCGCTCTTTTAGTTCATAGTTATGTGACAATATATATGGTTGTGTGTGAGTCTGGAGTGGGTCTGGAGTGTAATTTTTGGCTGTGACAGACCTTTCTTTGTTTTGTGGGTGTTTTGCTTGCTTGTGATGGGCCGTGAACCGACAGTTTGTAGTTTTCTATCTGGTGTGGGTGAGTAATAGTCTGCTTTGATTTTCGTCACAGGTACCTTGGGGGCAGTGGTTGGTGCCCACCTCAGGGTATCAGTTGTCGGGCAGTCGTTGATGCTTAACCACATCCAGGGTTAAGTGAGTGAGCATTGGGTCAGGGGGTCACACTATAAGAGGTTGGTGTTTTCCAAAACTGGTCTTCTTTCGTGGGACGGGGAGGAATGACTACGCTGTGGACTTTGAACAGGAGATTAGAAGTGGGTTTTCCAAAACCGGTCCCATTCCTTTCGTGGGACTGGGAGGAATGACTACACTGCGGACTTTGAACAGGAGATGAGAAGTGGGGTGAGCACCATTGGCCCTAGCCCAGTTGGTACACCCATGAACTCTTGATATGCAGAGCCGAGTTTGAGTCCAGATGCAACCACATGAAAAGAAAAACATAATTCTGAATTACCTGGGGCCGATCAGCTCAATGATGATATCTTTTTTTTTTTTTTTTTTTTTTTTTAACCAAAAAATATACTGTATTCTCACTCAAATTCTTTCATCTTTCACGACTACTCCTAAGGCTATACAGTGGACCTCTACCATAGCGATGTACCTTTCTTGGTGGAGCAAGGTAATTGCATGTCTGCCCCTTGCCCCAGTGGTATAGGGTGCAGGGTTGGGGCCACCAGTGGGGGCCTGGCTAACACAAGGACCGAGCATTCGCCAGTAGCTGCACCTCCCTTTTCATCTTCCCCCACCCCCATCGAGTAACAGCAGTGTCTAAGGCCAACACTCTCCCGCACACCACGCGTACCCCACTCACACTCGCACTCACATCCGTGTTGACTGAAGACCCTACTAATACCGACCGGGAGATGCGGGGTGGGGCCCTTCGTGACATCTGTAAAAATCGAAGCGGTACAGAGAAGATAGCACCCGCGCAGGGATGACACACATAAATGGGGAAGTGTAGGGGGGTGGGGTGGTTGGGGTT